AGGAGGGTAGAGAGAATAGTGTAACAATGAATGAGTGGAAGCCCAAAATCTCTGTAAATGTTTATGAAAATTAATAAAATATAATTATAGAAAAAAAAAAGATGGTACCTCATTGTGGTTTTGATTTGCATATGCTGCATTTTTAAAAAAACAAACAAAAATAAATTGGGTGTTCATGTTAAACAAGTCCATAGGTATCATGTTCCAATGGCATGCATTTTACCTCGTGTCCCTCTGACACATTCTGGTAATTCTCACAATATTTCAAACTTTTTGCTGTTGTACAATTACTAGACTCCAATATATTTCTATTCACTGGGAAACAACAACAAATCACGTGGCTTACTTTATTTGATTAACAAAGTAAATGATAGAGAAAGGAATGTTATTCTGGTGCACTGGTACCGAGTTTGTCTACCTCCAGTACGCCTGTACACACGGCGTTCTTGGTCACACTGTGTTATTTCCTCATTTGTTTCCCCTCACTGAGCACTCCAGTCAGGGTTCACTGGATGAGTAGATGTTAAAAGTACAAGTCTGAGGCTAGAATTCTAACAAATCACCATGTTTTCTTTCTACAATAATTTATTGCTTTTCTGTAATTGTTTTGGGTGTGTTTTCAGCTGACACATATGCTTTGGGCACTGGTAACTGATTTTTATATGATAAAAACTACTCATCCAGAGAAATGTAATATTCTGAATCAATAGAAAGTCTTCATCATAGAGTATTAAAGAAGTTTTTGCTTGTTAGTCACATTCACACAATAACACAGTCTTAAAGCTAATAATCGGCTTTGCTGAGTTCAAGTCCTTTGCTTCTAACGTCCTCTGGTCTTTGTAGAATGAGGACATATAATCTATGAGTACATACTTAAATTCAGATATCAGTAAGATGATTAGTACATTATATCTGTATATGTTGACAATGTTAAAATGCTTTAAAATAATTTCTTTTTATAACATTTAGTTCTCCCTACATAAATATTAATCTTTTTACTACTCCCTTTACTTAATGCAAAAGAAATCTAGACTCTGATGAAGAATCACAAAGTCAATATACATTCTAAAGAAATGTCTAAGGGTCTTGCATGTTATACTCTAGAGCTTATGTTTAACTTGGCTTGGATGAAAGCATTTTTTTCCAAGTAAAATTTTTATTTTATACATTTACTTACAGAGTTTGTAAACATTGTTTTTCACGCCAGATCTTTCCACCCCTCCCTCCACCTGTCAAATTGTGAAGCCCTATAATTAATAAACCCCTCGCCCCATCTTCTCCCCTCTGCTCCCTCTTCCCTCCTCCCCCCCTTAGATCCTCATACACGCCTCACAATAATTGACTTATATACTATTTGTAGTTATGGAACTGAGTAAGTTCATTTAGCATAACACTCCAGTTCCTCCCAAGTTAGGTAGTGATTTACAAAATCATTGCTCCTGTGTGCTGTGTAGTATTCCATTGTGTGAATCTACCATAATTTCTCAATCCATTCGACTGTGGTTGGACAGTTGGGCTGTTCCCATGTTCTTGCAATGATAAATAACTCTGCTGCGAACATTGGTGTACAAGCATCTGTGCCCCAGTTCTCATTTTCTTGGTGTATAGTCCATGCAGTAGAATAGCTCGGTCATATGGAATTTCTATGTTCAGCTTTCTGAGGAAACACCAAACTGCTTTCCAGAATGGTTATACCATTTTACAATCCCACCAGCAATGTTCCTATCTTGCTGCATCCTCTATTACATGCTGGCCTGTTAAACTTTGTCACTGCTACTGGAGTGAGATGATATCTCATTGTGGTTTTGATTTGCATCTTTTTGCCAATGACTTTGAGCATTTCTTCATGTGTCTGTTGGCCATCTGAGTATCGTCCTCTGTGAAAATTCTTTCCATATCTTTTGCCCATTTTGTAGTTGTGTTATCAGTCTTTTTTTCTTGTGGAGG